AAATTATTATTTTTAAATTTGAATTTTATTATAAATAAAACTTATTAAAATTATTATTCATTAACATTATAACTTATTACATTTTTAAATTATTATAATAAAAATTTAAATTACTTTTTTAAAATATTAATTAACAAGTTTTATTTAATTATTATATATTTTTTAAATTGTTTAAAAATTTAAATTTCTTTTTTAAAAAAAGACAATTTAACATAAACAAAAAAAAAACAGGGCTGCCCGGAATTCGGTTCCCTAGAAATCGAATTCTGGCAGCCACCGCGTCCCACCAGAGCAACGTCACTGTTCAGAATTCGGTTCCTCGAAAACCGAATTCTGATGGTGAACAGTGAAGAGTATTAATTTGGTAAATATTTTGGGTAGAGGTCCATTTCTGTAAATATATTTTTTTAAAAATTACTTTAGAAAAAAATTCACACATCGTGTGTTAAGCCTTTTTGCAATAATATTTTTCTTTATTAAAAAAAAAACTAACAATACATGGTATTACATGCAAGTTTTATCCCTCTAGAAATGCTCTCAACCATGCAATGGTTACCAAAATTTCCGTTACTTCATTAAATTAATTCATCAAATTTAGGCTATATCTAATAAAAAAGATTTGCTTTTCCGATGTAGAAATAAAAATAAAAAAAAGATTAGAGTCTTAACAAATTGTGATATGATTGATAAATAATTTTGTATGTTAAGCATGTAATTAGATATTTAATTGTATATATAAGAAAATATCTTATAGGAGAAGTCAGTGTCTTAATAAATGAATTTTAATATCTTGAGAAATTATTAGTTGAAAGTATTCAAAATCGAATCAACCCAAACAAAAAATCGTAAAATAATTAAAAAAAAATTGAAAATTAATGAAAAACCCTCAAATTAGCGGTTTGATTTAGTTTTAAAATTTTCAAAACCGTGCAATTTGCTTTAATTTTTGGATTGGAATGTGAAACCGCTCTAAACCAAATCAAATTGTATTTATTTGTATTTTTTTTAAAATGCAAAATATAGGTATACAAAATTGACAAATAATATAAAAGAAGTTTTATAAATTATAAGATAGTGTTTTCTCTCCAAATATATGTTATAATATATAAAATGTATTTTATAAACTTGTAGTTACTAAACTAAATTTTAGAATGAAAAATTATGAATTATTTGTAGTGTTTGAAAATAATTTTTTTAAAGTGGCAAATTATATATGTGAAAAAAAAATATTAATATGATAACAAAAATTGTATTAAAGAAATTATTTTACTAAAATAAAAAGATAAGAATTAATGTTAATATATTAAGTGATTGAAATATTTTAATATTTATACATTTTTAATTTTATTTTTTAAATACAATCTAAAAAAATAATATAATATTACATATTTTTAGTTGATTTTTAAATAACAAATTTTAAAAATTGTAAAAATCAAACACACATAATTTTCTTATTTAGTTCGAATAACTCTCAAAACAAAAATAAAACTAAATCACACTTCAAACACGTCTATTATTGGTCCTTAACTTTTGACTAAGAGATGTCTTGAATTAAACTAAAACAATTAAAAGCTGAAGTCCAAGCAGCATGCACGATTGCTGTTAGTTTGCTATCAGTGGAAAAACGATGCGCTACCCAACCTACTAGTGATACCAACTAACAGGTACTTCTTTTAAGGAAACACATTATATGTATGAGCTATCTTTCGTACAAAACTTGAACACAAGATTTTCTAATGGTTGGATTACTCAGCTGCATCACTTAGGTAGCTGTTACCAACAAGTAAATGCTCATTGAATTCCAATCAACATAATATGTCATGACCATGACAATTATAAATTTGTATGCAGAAGAGTGAAATTTAAACTCACATGATGAAGCTTACCACTCTTAAATCTCTCTATGTCAATCTATTTGTTGTTCTATTTTATTCATTTGCTGTAACAGCCATATCACAAACAAAATATAGCAACCATGACGTTCCTGCTGTTATAGCTTTTGGTGATTCAATCTTGGATACAGGCAACAACAATCATATTGAAACAGTAATGAGGGCAAACCGCAAACCATATGGGAGGGATTTCTTAGACGGAAAACCCACAGGAAGGTTTTGCAATGGCAGGATCCCTTCAGACCTTTTAGGTAGTTCTCACTTATAAGTTAGTTGATTAAGAGTAGGTTCAGATAAATTTCTTTGGAATAAGAAGTAAAACTAAAATAAGTTTAAGTTAATTCGTTAGTTTTTCTATTTTTAACTTATGAATAAACTAATTTTAGCTTACCGAAAAAATTAGTTTCATTTTTTTTAAGTGTTTTTGGAAAAGTTTATTCAAATATTCCATTCATAAAATTAATAAAATTCTCCTATTGGAAATTCTGTGATGGTTCATTATGCTTAGAAATTTGCATATAATTTCAGTTGAAATACTTGGAATAAAGGAGGCCTTGCCACCCTATCTTGATCCAAATCTGAAGATTGAAGACCTCTTAACTGGGGTGTGTTTTGCCTCTGCCGGCACAGGATTTGATCCTTTGACAGTAAAATTAGCAGTAATCATTACTCTTAACAATTCAATTCTATTTTCAATTTTGAACTTATTTGGATACAAGTTAAAAAGTACTTTTAAAGCTTCTCTACTCTAAAATGAGAGTATTTTCCGGTAGAGAAACTCTCAAAAACAACTTGCATCTAAGTAAGTTCTTTGTATCTTAACAACTATGTATGGCTTAATAGCTTTTTCATGTTATATCAGTCAGTAATATCAGCAGAGGACCAACTGAAAATGTTCCAAGAGTACATAGGAAAACTGCAAGAAGCTGTGGGGAAAGAAAAGACAGCTCTCATTCTAGCAAAAAGCATAATTGTCATCAGCATGGGAAGCAATGATATTGCAGGAACATATTTTGCGTCACCTTTCAGGAGATTTGAGTATAATGTGGAAGAGTATACAAGTTTGCTTATCAATTCATCTTCAAACTTTGTACAGGTATGCTTTTGAAGTGAACACGAATTTTTTTTTTCATAGATATGATCCGCACAATATTCAATAATGTTGACAACCAAGAACATTATTTGAATTCAGATAGAAACACATATCAATGCCATGTACATTTCAATTTTTAACTATGTTATCAGTTAATTCATTGTATCATCAAATCTTAACTCATTGAAAGGTTCAACCCTGCATTTTGTTGGTAAACCGGTCTTTTAAGAGAAAGAATAATTTGTTCAACCAATGATTTGAAATTAAAACTTCCAGCTTTGAGTACCTAGAGCTCAATACAATCCCATGATACATTCCTTTTTTTCTGATAATCTTTTAAAGAAGGCAAAAGTTTAAATCATCTAAACAATTTTTTCGACTAGTCAAGATGTTTTTTCTTATAATCATATTATTGGTAGGGAGTATCTACATGTTTCTCATCCGAGAACCTGTTTCTCATCCGAGATCCTGATTGATCATCTTTAATGGAGTCTTCCCTCCCAACCATGTTATTTTCACACAACTCAAAGTCAAAATCTTGCTTAAGGAGATTGAATCCACTAGTTAATATATTAAAAATAACATCCCTTTTATTAGGAAAAAAAATCACAATTTGATGGAAATGTCATGAAATTTAATGGAAGGAACTTTATAAATTTGGAGCAAGAAGGATTGGAGTACTCGGCCTATCACCAATAGGATGTGTGCCACTGCAAAGAACACTAGAGGGAGGCCCAGAAAGGGATTGTGTAAAATCAATAAACGAGGCAGCCATCATCTACAACACCAAGCTTACTTCTTCACTTGAGGCTCTCAGCATAAGTCTTCCAAAAGCTAGGCTTGTCTACCTAGAGAACTATAATGAATTCAATGAAATTATCCAACACTACAATGAACTTGGTAAGTTTCTTCATATTGTGTCACTGACCATAGCTAAATTTCATGGTATGCAGCCTATGTTAGGTTCTAATAATTTTATTATGATGAGAATATTTATTTGGAGGAAGAAAAAGATTACCAACCAATTCTCAGTTCTCACATGAATTATGATTCACTGACTCATTGCTTGTGGATCAGGATTTGAAGTGGCAGATAGTGCATGCTGTGGCGGAACAGAGCTCGTATGTGGTCCTTTGGCCTTAACAATCTGTAAAGATGATGCTAAATATGTGTTCTGGGACAGTTATCACCCCACGGACCGAACTTACAGTATGGTTGTCTCAAAAATCGCAAAAAGGGACCTTGCTAAGTTTTTTAAATGATACCTTTATTTTTAAATATACAAAGAGTGTTAGCAACAAACTCTCTTAGCAGATGAAGTATATTTAAGAGTGTCGAGAGTGAATTCTTAGCATTTCTCTTAATAATATTGGACTAGTTAAGGGATTATGTTGTAAAATGGGGTCCAACTATGGTGACATATTCGGGCTATGTCATGCTTTATACTGTATTCAGAACACGCCTAATAAAGCTACTTGCTAATAAATCATATTTCAATTGATAAAATGTGGTAATTTCACACGTAAAGGAATCAATCAAGCGTGACGATTATGCTGTGTCTTATGATTTTAGAAAGAAGACACAAGCAATATGTAACACACCCGAACAAAATATATCAATCATCAGGTCAGAATAGAGTATTCATTCAGTTGAAAATAATAAGAGGTACAACATTTTACGCCCGTGAAATCCAAATTATTTGATTAATCGATTACTAAAATTATTTGTTCACCATATAATATATATATACCCTTGACATTTTGGGTGAGTTGAGAGCAAACTGCCCGAATTCTAGAGTTTTGTTCGTCGTAGAAACTGGTTAATGTGATAGTAATAATTTTATAACTCCACAGCTGGTAAGTTTGTAAGGTCTCTCAACAGAATATTCACATTGAATGACCCAATCATGAGAGGATCACTTTTAATGCAAAAAATTCATCTTATGATATTTCATATCATAACCGATGTAAACGCACAACATCAATACGATTTTAAACTTCTCGATAAATATAATATATTTCTTTATTTTAAGTGATTATTCCATTTTTTGGTAATCAAAAAATTGTTCTTATTAACTTTTTTGGACTCGAAAATTTATATATAATTTAAGTGACACAATAAAAACTTTTCCTATTCCTCTATTAACTGATTTTGCAATCAATACAACCTATAACCGACGGCTAATGATTTTAAATAACCTTTTGATTATTGATTAATGATAGACAGTTTTTATAATAAAAAATTAACACAAGACAGATAATTCTATGAAAATACTGTCAACCCCAAAAGGATTGTTTGTTTTTAAAAAGTATTACGGCTTAGGATAAAAGAATTACTATATTATTTAAAATTATGGTTCACATGTACGAAGTTGTAGTTCAAGTATCTTGAAAATAAAGCATAACTTGTAAAACAATAATGTCAATCGTTCCGTTTCATGCATTGGTTTGAGAACTGAGAAGGGTATGTGGTTGGTCGAGATCCAAATATTTGGATTCTGTCCCTTTCATCTTCATCGATAGCGACCACAGCACCGTGATTTGACGAATGGACGCAGAGCACTACAAACACAAGGCTGGGAATGGGAGCATTGTTGCTAGTGTAAAAAGCACCGCCATTCAAATTGTTTGGTATTCTAAGTTATGGATATATATATATATATGAGATTCAGCAATGATATACAAACACTGTAAAACAATTTTATCCAGTCATTCAATTACAGTTTATCATAAATGATAAGATCATTAATTTTTTATATAACCACATAAAAGTCATAAGTGACTTTTGATTAATCGTGTAAAAAATTTCAGCCTAAATTTTTTTATACCTACGATGTATGATCATTAAACTCATTTATAGAAGGAGAATTTTATTTTGATATTTTATAAGTCTTGGATTGTATTGTTTACGAGGCAACGTGTACGCTGCCTTCTTCAATTGTATGATTTACCTTTCGACTATAATCAGAATCTAGATTGGGATATTTACCATCCAAAGAACTAGCTTCATGTCGATTAATTGTTAAGGTTTAACTTGAACGACTTCTAACATTAAAGGGTTAAAAAAAAATTACAACCAATGAACCAGAGACACCATTTACTTGCTACACAATGACACCGAAATATCAATATACATTAAAATCAAAAATTGAATTAATTTGAATCCTTTGCCTCTGTTCACTACTTGACATCAGCAACTCAGCCATTTAGTAGCATTTCCTGTGTCTCACGTTCGACCCACCCCATCAGGCATTAACTTCAGAAAAACTAATTCAATAAGTTTCCCTCTAATGCATAATATAACATAAATGCAACCACAAATCATAAAATTGTAGCTAAAATTAGACGCAACTTGCAATTCCACAAAACTACTTTCAAATAGATTTCAACCACATACTCTTTGCAAACATGCAAGGATATAGGTAAAAAGAACACAGCCTTTTATACTAATATGGAAGATCCCTTCAACTGTTTCTAAAGGAAACTCACAATTGTTTCAGGCATACAAGACATATACAAGTAATGATTATAATAATATTATTACCACAACCATCGTAGACCCTATTTAGACATCTGAAATATCCACACCAGCTAAACTGCCCCCAAGACAGTCTACAAAATTGCATTTTTACTATTCTAACATTCACTAGAGAGTAGGGACCAAAAGAGAATATACACAGCAGCAGGGAAACATGACCACGAGGCAGTGAAGAGAAAGAAATTGAAGACAATTGCATCAACGAAGTTTATTCTGAGCAACTGCTTTGCATAGTTCATCTTCATAGAAGAGAACTCTATTAGAAGCCAAGGATTTGAACAGGGGCTTTGGTATAACTGATGGCACCAAACAGCGAGAAGGGAAGGCTGACTCTGGGAAAAGAACAGCTGTAACCTGCCTCATCTCTGAAATTTTTAGGCGAGAAGGAGGTCTTGGCCCATGTCTGGGTGCTTTAGGTGTGTGTGGGCTTGGAATCCTCACTCCCTTTCCATCACCCTTGCTGGAAAAATCAATAGCAGTAAGATTAAGAGATGCACCAAAAACTGCAAAAGAATATTTATCGTCAGAAACATGTACCAGAAAAAAGGCCAATGCTCAGTAGGAAGAGGAGTCATTCTGCTCAACATCTCTTGCCGAGAGCGATCTGGAGTAGTATAATTGAAGTGATACTGCCTTGCAATCACAACCTAACAATATTATAAAGAGTTAGTCATCAAAAAGTAGCTAAAATCATAAGCAGATTTAAAGGCATAAAATACAGAGTAGAGACACTGACTTACAGCTTTCCTAATTCTTTGAGAAACGTGAAAGACAGCCTTCAGTTGGTCATGGTGCAGGTGGCATAGTATTTTAACCTCAATTTTGTCAGAGAATGGGTCAGCATGACAGAAATAGTTCACACAGATAAAATTTAATGCAGAAATACATGACTTAAGCCAATCAACTGAATACAGTAAAATGCAAATATAAAAAAGTGTTTGAAGTTGTGCAGCGATTCACAATGTTAATAATATTCAACAAGCTTGATTAATTCCTGATGATCCTTCACAATTAAAAATAGCATATAGATTAAAAACAATAAACACTTACAGAAACATGAGAGATCCCAGTTATAACATAACAACCATACTAAACAGAATATCACACATGCTCTTGAGCATCACACAAATCGATAAAGATGGAGGATAATAGCGTGCAATCAACAAACTCATACTCCAGACTCCTGTATGAGTACTTCATCATAGCACTAACACAAACTTCTACATTCAAACAACTCAGAACACATCACTGAATCCCGCATCAACACCGACCAGACACAAAACTCAACAAATCAAAAGCACCAACAAAATAGACCCAAAACAGAAACAAGAAACAGCATGCAAAACATTAAACACCCAACGCTGCATTGACAACTTCCCTGACACCCAATGGGAAAGTTTTGAGACACAACCCCGAGCAAGGTAACCAATAGGAACACAAGTACACCACAACCAATCCATTCATTACCATACCCCAAAACCACAATCACCACCCATTAACATCAATTTTCAAGAACAGAGACAAAATCCCAACCTCCAAACCACATAATCATCATTCCAAATAACCAATTCTAAAATAATAAACAAAAACAAAACAAAAAATTCGTTTCCCCCTTGTAGCTCCCGCAAAACAAACAAATTTTAAAAATTAAATTAAAAAAAAAAAAAAAAAAAAAACCGCATTTAAAGCCATACGAGCAAATCCATGGGGAGAGACTCGAGCTTGGATTCCGATAGGGTATCGTCGAGGCGAGGGGTTTTGGGGGTCCCAACGAAGCCAGCGTGTTTAACCAAATTCACCGGCGACAGCATCACAGGGCTCTTATCGTAGACCCTCGCATTCTCCTCATGCGAAACACCCCCACTCTTCCTGGTATGCAACTTCTTGGCGAAATCGTTGCAGCAAGCCGAACCTGAAGGCTTGGCACACCGAAGCTGAGCCAGCGTCCCGGGCCTCAGGTACTTGTTCCCGGAGCTCCGAACCTGCCTCCTCCCCTTAACCCTCCAACCCTTCTCCTTCGGCGACACCTTCCCCATCAAAGCTCTTCTCTTGTCTTCTGTTTGGTTCTGTTCCCTCACTCAACACAACCTGGGAGAGAAAAACACAAGCAAACAAACAAGACCTAATTGGAAAATAAACCAAAAAAAAAAAAAAAAAAAAAAAAGAGGGAGAAAGTAAGAGAAAGGTTACATACATCACAAGAGGTTTGTGATGAGGTGGAAGCGGAGCAGAGAGGGAAAGTGGCGAATGGGGCCGCTAGGGTTTTTATTCTTCTTTGTTTGAATTTGGTGACTTGGGAAGCTGCCCGCCAAATTTTTAGTTCCACCCAGTGGGACTCGTGGGCTTCCTGCACTGGATCCGCCTTCGCACACGTGGCCAACTATGATTCGCTGCTTTTGGCATCCTAGGCCATGCGGGTCCCACCCAACCATTCATTCATTGCCGCACCTCCTGCTCCTACTGCGCCGTGGATTTCGTCTAATTCCAAATTTTTAAATGCCACTTATTTTCTTTTCTCCTTTCGCATTTTCAAATTTCCCCAAACTTTCATTTTAATATCATTTTACTCTTCATTTTTACACTATTTATTAATTATTAATATTTTTAAGTTAAATTGTATTTTCTCTCTCTTCTATTTTTTTCAATTCTATTATTTCAACCTATTTAAAAAAAATTAATCTATTGTTAATTTAATATTCATTCATTCATCATTAAATTTTAATGTTGTCTGATTTAAGTAATATAGCACTTAAAAAATGGCATGTGAAAAAAAATTTTAAAAAATAACATATAAAATCTTTTTATTTGTATCTATTTAAGTATTTATTTTTTTCGGAAACCTTGATGTGACGCATGAATGATTCAATGCGCAAAAATAAATAGTTAAATAGGGATTGGCATTGGGCCTTTATTAACTCAGCACTCGCACGTGAGTTCCGCGCTACGCAAACAATATACTACAGTAGTATTTCTTTTTATGTTTTTGGAAAAAAATATGTTATAAATTAGAAAATATACTGTCATTTTTTTAATTGTATAATCCCAGGTGAATATTAAACTGTCTTATAAAATGGATGTTAAATAAAAAAGTTACTGTGTAGGAATAGGAGGACCACGAAAGGAAGTGTGATTTTGTTGTGTTACTCCAAAAACGGAAGCACATTCGTCAAATTGTTTAAGAAATATATGTAAACGTTATTCACTAGTAGTGGTATATTTGAAAAACTAAAACTGTTTTCTTAATGAATAATATCATTTATTTATCATTTAAACATTTTAAAGATTTTACTATATTTTAACGTGATTTTTAATTAAGAAATACGTAGTAACATAATGCTACTGTACTAAATACTAATAAATCTGTTCAAAAAACTGTACTAATAAATTTTTAGGGTTTAATAATTCATGGTTTGTGCCAAAGAAAAATATGTATACTACTATAGTTTTGGTAGCTCCTCGTGCACATGGATATCTCTGATTTAATGATTAACTATAGAGCATAGGATCCCAGGCTTTCGATTGTTGTCAATGAAATTAATTCCTTCATTGAATGTTGACTGTGTAGGTCCTCACTTTACAACACTAATTATTATGGTTAAAAAGGTCAACATGACATTGTCTTTTGACCGGGACACTAATAAACTTATAAATATAAGAGATTTAATACGTGTATTTTTTAATTAAAAATTGATATTTAATTTTATTATCTTGAATAAAAGAGTTGTAAGTAGAGATACTAAATTTAAAAAAAAATTATTCATTTGAAGGAAAAAAATTATACTTTTTATATATAGTCGAGTAATTAAGACTATTTTAAGTATCCATGCACCAATTATATCTTTATGTGTAGTTAAGTGATTAAGACTAATCTAAGTACACACCAATTATATCCTTATGTGTAGTTGAATGATTAAAACTAGTTTAAGTATAACATTAATGTTATTTTGAGTTCAGCATTATGTTTTACACTAATATAAATGAAGTAGTTGGGGAGTATTATAGAAATTTATAATTAATAAATGAAGATAATTCAATTCAAATGTATATAAGTTAAATGTTTCTTAGTTTGTGTGTAGAAGGCTATAAGAATCAATGGAGAGATGTGTCTCATATTTAGATATCTTTATCTTAATGGAGTGATATATGTCATATTTTAAAGGTAATTCACTTCTAAAATCACACTTAATGTTTCGTCATATGTGTCATATTTATTTCTTTATATCAATTTTATTTGGAGTAAATGGTTAATTTACTCTCTAAATTTGGAAGATGACATTATATTAGTCCCTAAAATTAAAAAAGATGTTAAAAATTCCTAAAAATACAAATCACAATTACATTAATTCAAAATTAAAATAATGTGACTAAAGTTATAATGTTGATACACATTTAGGGACCAAAATGACAATACAAAATGTTTGACATTCTAATGCACAAACCTTTAAGAGGAAATATATTTCTATTGTGGTTAAGTGATAGATGTGATTTAAAACATTCCTGGCTAAGACATAAATATATGGTGAAAAAAGGTGTATTTCCTAGTGTGAAATATACCTTTATAAATCAAGTCACATAGGAAAAGTTTGTAGAAAATAGATTGGTGCTTGAGTTTAAAGTAAGTTGGAATTATGTTGATCTCTTTAAGTTGTCAACACCATTATTTTTAGTTAATTTATTATTGTGTTGTTATTTTGTGTTTTTTATAATAGAAAAGAAATAAGTCAAACACTAAAGGGAAAAAGGTCTACCACATTGATTGTTTTGGGCATACTACACTAGTTTTACAACCGATGTTATTCCCATTGATGTGGTATCTAGGCACATGCAACATCGAGTGTTGATCAATGTTATATGTGCACTTAACACATTGGTTTTTCCACAACTAATGTTATATGTGCAACATTTTTTATGGCACTTCTATTGCCAAAGATGTGACTGTAGGTGTTAAGGACATCGACTTTGAAAACGAAAGGTTGCATGGGAAAGTCAGTGGTGAGTGTTTTAAAAGTTGGGGTTGATGCACCCAACGCCTCTTCATTCCAATAGGTGTATGTGAAATGCTTGCAACAATTTCGTTACTAGTGGGCATCCCACTATGACATTGTTAGTGGGATGTCACCTCCCATAATGATGTAGTCATAGTAGTTTTCTAATATCAACCAAAATTGGAAACAAACAACAACCAAAATCCAATAACTTATCAACCAAAATTAGCAACCAAATCAACCAAGAACCACAAAACCCACATGTGAGAAAGAGAGGAAAACAAGTGTGGTATAGAGATGAGAGCACCACATCACCAAAAAGAGGACAAGTAATACCAAAAGTGAGGTTTGTGGAGGTTGGACATTTGCTAAAGAAAAGAGGATTGTGAAGAGTGAGAGAGAATATGGGCGTGATGAAGACAAAAAGGTTTTAATTGTTATAATATAATATACCACGCCTAATACATTTTAATTGATGTCATATATTATACTAACCTAATAGGTCACTAATCTTTATAGTTCAACAATTAAGTAACAGAAAACATAAATCTAATTACATAGGATTATCATGCAAATAATTCTTAGATATATATAACAATATATATATATATATATATATATATGTGTGTGTGTGTGTGTGTGTACAAACAATAATCCATATTGTAAAACAACGTTATACGTTGCTAGTTAAGCAACTACTATACTTGAGTTACCTCGGAACAACTCCAAACAAAAACACCGTCATCCAGCATGACACTCAAAATCTTGCTTTCCTTTTAGCCTAATTCTACCTTACTTCCATAATAATATGATCATCGTAGTCCAACAATAAGGAAAATGCAAGGGTAACCTTGTAAACAAGAAAATAACATAATATAGAAGCAAATAACACTAACTATAAAACAATTTCATCATCACAACATAACTACGACACATTGTCAAGTTTAGCAACACATATTAACATACAACATAAATTTACAACTTAATATATGGACTACACATGCAACTTAACAACGTATCATCAACACAACAACTAAATAATACAACAATATGGAAATACAACATCATTGTTAGAAAAGAATGGCTCAATCCAAGAGGGGGGGTGAATTGGATTCTATGACACTAAAAAAAATTTCAGAGTTCTAAAGATCTTTATTTCAACTTAAACTTTTCTAATATGAATTATCAAAAAAGTTCCTTGAAAGACTTGCTAATGGGAATGAGTCCTATATGTTTTCTTGATTAATCTTGATAAAGTTCAATGTTAAGAACACTTAATATGCAACACTTTGATTCAGTTTAAAGCAATGTTGTGCACACAAACATATTAATCAAGATTATTCACTTTAGCACTCAACCAAGATTTTGCTCAAAGTAAAAGATAAGAGTGAGAGGGAAGAATGCACAAGTCTTTTATCATGGTTCAGCCACTCCACATGTGACCTATATCTAGTCCTTAATCATAACCTGATCAAGATTTGTTCCACTATTTCAATGAAGAAGTTTTACAAGCATACAACACATGCATATACTCTTACATTCAAGATAACCACTTTCTTGCCCCCAAGAAAGCACTTCTTGTAGAAACCCACTACAAGAATTCCTTATCACTTGAGACACCTACTCAAGATTTTCCTTACACTTTTCACAAAGAATTAAAGGAACGAATTCACCTGGAAGCTGAACAAATCAGACTGTGAATTCCAAAAGCAAATCTTAATCTTCCTCTCCCAAGAATGTAATGATGATGATGATCTCTTTCAAAGCATTCCAAAATGTTTTACTTCTTCATTTCACAAAGAAAACACTTCAAGAAGATCACAAAGACTTCACAATATGGTTTTTGTCTTTTTGATTCTCAATTCATTCTCTGTTCTGAAGTTTCAAAGTGTGAAAGCTATTTATAAAAATTTCAGAACCAGATAATCGATTATTTTGTTCTTCATGATTTCTGGAAACCACTCAAGAACAGAATAATCGATTATTTTGCAGGATAATCGATTATTCCAGAGAGTGCTTCCTGGAATAATCGATTATTTCATGAATAATCGATTATTACAGCAAGGCTCCTTTCACCTGTTGCTGGAATAATCGATTACATTTAATGATAATCGATTATTTTGAGTTAGTTCTCAAAAACTCAATTTTATACTTCAAAAATTCTTTCCAAGTATTTTAAATCATCATCATACTCACTCTCAGTCAATTTAGATTAAAACTAACTCATGCACAAAGCACACACATGCAAAATAAACTAATCAAACCAATACAACTCATAGGAACTTATAAACTATTCCTATTACACATCATAATAGTTATATCTTCTTCTTGACTTGTTTTTGACTTGTTGATGTCCTTGGTCAGCTTTGATTCTCAAAATCTACCCTTTGTTATCATCAAATCTTTCATACTCCAAATCTGAGTTGATTCACGACTCCATGAATCTCAACAATCACAACACATTGTCACACATTTCAACTAAGAGATCTCTCACGATATAGGTAAGCAATTTAAGTGACTTAACCCTACTAAACCAACTTAACGACATGATATTTTCAAGATTACTAAATCAACAACAAATTTGGATTTGTTAAACACTAACAACATTAAAACATATTAAAATAATTTCAAATTTTCCATCCTAATAATTTAGGACCAACAACAAATTACTACAACACCAAATCTTCCACACCAATAACACCAACTTTTAATAGTCACATTATGTATGAAATAAAACATCATCAATTATTCAATTATCAATTTAATTTTAATTTTAATAAAATAATAATAATTAATTTAGCAATTACCTATTATACAATATCAAGATAATTAACTTCAACTCCAAGTGTAACTACTAATCAGACTTAATATCAAAATTGTCTTTAGTTAGTGGTGGGATTGTGCCAATACCTAAAAAATTATAAAATATAATAATCATTAATTAATATGAAAGAAAAAATAGACAACAATAATTAAACACTTGTACCATTTAAAAATAAAATATAAATATTACCTTGTTCAAGTTTTTCAATATCCTCCATGGGCTCTTCAATGTCTATTAACCATGGACAGGATCGACACCAATTTTATGTACAAATTAATGCTTCAACTATTTTTGGTGAAAGAGAACTCCTATAACAATTAAGCACTCTACCTTCAGTGCTGAAAGTAGACTCAACAATAGATACAAGCATGGCCAACAAATCTCTAACAATATGACTAAGAATAGAATATTTGCTAGAATTCACTTTCCACTTGTTTGTTGGGATTTTCATTTGTAGGTCCTTTTTATTCGAATTAGCAAGGCTTCAATTTAGGTATATGTCGTGAATTGAATGCAATTTAGACGAGAGGAATACGTAGAACTATACAATTCGAGATTCAGATAATTCATGCTTTTAAATGATAATAAGTTTTGAGATGGATCGCACACACATAAATCACAAAGGACACGAAATTATATACAATATTAGTTGGGGCCCAATTTTATGATTTAGTATGCACATATTTCTAAGAGTTCATCAATTGTTATCACAACACAAGTTTCGTGCATATAGACGTTAAAATGAATCAAGTGAACAATACATATACTGATTATAGAAATCATATCCTTTATCATCAACAAGGTTATAATTAAAATCATAAGGATTATGATAAGTGACTGGATTTGTATGCTATACTACGTTATGCTAAAAAGTAAACTAGACATATTCTAGAAAGAAAGTAGAAAAATGGTCAAGAAACCATACTTAGTAGTCTCGTACACAATAGCCATATGCGCAGGCGGGGCGTTGTGAGATTTTGTAAGCATAATGTTTTTGAACCCTTTGGAATGAGATTGCCTCACTTATTTATAGAGTTTGAGTGGGGGTGGTTAATTTTGTATGGTTTCGACGTGGTGTGTGTAATCGTTCTCCACTACGTGACGTGAGTAACCTCTTAACCGTTTTTAACTTTCGATAACCATCACTACATTTCTCGATCCTTGAATAATTCTTCGCAAACTGGTTAATACTTATCAACTCCCTTGGTACATAACTACCCTAATGTTCACATATTTGTAACTTCCTTGAACCGACTATAACCACTAGTAACCACTTGCCCTTTTCTTTGACCCTCGAATATATATTCTTTAAAATTCTCTTCGATAAACACACTATACATCAATTCTATATAATGTGCAGCTATCTCAATATTTGTGCGGTTCGAGTATTTTTTGCATTGTAACAATCCACCTTTCCTATTCAAAGATTTTCCTTGATTACCCTAACACCTCCATATCAAGATATCAAAAGTGCTACTTTTCTTTTCCAAACCCTCTATAAGATACATATCCATTTTGTTTTTATTCACACTCTCATTAACATTCATATCTTTTACGAATTCCATAACAAATGAAACTTTTGGTGCATCAAATTCTTCCATTCCATCCCCATTTCAATAGAAGGTTGTGTAGAATTTTTAGTCTATTGCTCATTACCAACAGAAAGCCTATACACCTCAAACATAACTTGTAATGTCTCCTTTACCTTGTTACATATACTTTCAAAAACATCCTTCTCATAAAAACTACTTAAGTTGCACTAAACAAATTGAAACTTACTTTGAGGATCAAGCATCACAGTCGCAAAAATCAATATATTCATATTTTTAATATTCCCCCAATACTTATCATATTTAGCTTTCATTTTTTAACCATGCTTCCAAACAATTTTAAAAACTCCCTACCCATTTCTAAAATGCAAGATAAATATCATGTAATGCTCATTGAAATGTTAAGAAGTTACAAAATTAGTCTTTGAAACTTTTTGAGTAATATCAAAAAAAAAATTCAAGAATCTAATAAAGTATCTTGCATTATTCCAATTTTCATTATTTGAAACACCACCATTCAACATCACATGCTCAGAACACTTCTTACCCAATCCTTTAAATGCATTCTAAAATTTCAATGCACTTTCAAGCATTATGTAGGTAGAGTTCCACCTGTGGAAACATCCAATTGCACAATACATTTATCAATTTTTCTATCAATCATTTCTCCCTTGTGATTCTTAATTAAACAAAAATTTAGAATCCTTTTATGTAACTTGCAATCATCATCTATGAAATGTGTAGTAAGACTAAGATAATCCATATTTTGCACAAAAGTCTAACAATCAGTTGTAAGACTTACACCTTGATGGGAATGACTAAACATGCTTTTCAACTTATGTTTTTTCATTTATGTAAAGATTCCAACAATCCCTAGCAATTGTAATCCTTCTCGGAATTGGGAATTTAGATTGCAAGACACTCATAAAAAAGTGAATTCCTCTCCCTCAACAAACTTAAAAGGCAACTCATCAACAATTATCATCCTTGCTAGAGCTTGTATACATGCATCAACATCAAAATGAACACTAGTAAGAACACTGTTAGTTCATTTTCCATTTTTTTTTCATTCATTGAAAGGCAACAATTTGTTTAGTATGATCAAAAGACTCTTTTGGAAACTTGGGACATTTTTTTTTCAATAATGAGTTATAAGATTACTTGTACCATTTAAGTGAGAATCAGTAGCATAAGACTTTGTACACCAATTACATTTAGCTCTAGTTTTTTTGCTATTAGGATATTTTGTAAAATGATCCCATGCCCAAGATCTAGGCCTACAAGGCTTTGACTTACTTGGATCTCCAACATTGTTAGATGTGGGTTCTTCTACTTTTTTTTTCTTCTTTTTGTTTTTTCAACATTAGAGCCTCCCTCTTTGTTCAAATCTTCTTGATCGTTGGCATCCATACATATTGGTTCATTTGAAGAATTTCCAGAGTGAGTATTTGAAATATGATCATCACTTCGAGTCTTTTCAGCACATAACATAGAAAAAATAAAGACTTGATATATCTAAATGTCAAAAAAAATAAAATTAACTCAAGTTGTGTTATAAGGTAAAGGAATACCTCCATGGTGAATGACTAAATGGTAACAATGGTGCTTGTGATGGTTGAAAATTCAAAGCACTCAATCAATAACGTTAATACTATCATCATGTACCATGAACCAAAATTAAAATAGAACAATTAGTAATAATAAAAAATAGTTTGAATAAAATTCGTACCTTTAAATAACTATGCTAAAGGAATGCAAGTTGTAGAGCTTATCCCAAGTCACGCACAAGTCACAAATTTGAACAACCATTTTATACTAACAATAGTATCTAGATTTGATAGACTAAGAAATCAAAACAACCGCATGAAAGTTAAAACACATTATAACCAAAATTTAGAAAAAAATATATATCAAAATAATAAATATGGTTCTAGTACTATTGTATTAGAGTGATTCAAGCAATGGATGAAACAGGGAAAAGGTGCACACCACCAAGATTAAGCTTAATTACTATGTGGTAGTCTAAATTACAATTAAACTATTACTATGCAGTTGCAAGACCAAAAGGGCAAAAATTCCTTGCAAATATCCTTGCAAATAAGCTACCCTTTATAAACCTCATTATAATCTAATCACTAATCAACCATAATGGCTTATCAATCACTTGAAATCCAAGCTAGGTAGATATGATCCATAAACAATATAATGGAAAGTGCATAATATATTTAAACATGTAACAACATTATCATGTTTCATTAATTTCCAGGTCCATTACATCATCACCTTAATCTAGTAAAAATTTGAAATAAAATTATAATTATGTTAGAATCCAAGCCTATCTAAATTACTTGCCTAAGGAAACAAACTTCTCCATAATTCATAAAATGCTTTTCGTAAATTGCATGTGATTTCCTTCCTAAACCAAAATAAACAAAAAGAAGAGAAACAAAGCTACAAAGGAAAAGGAAGAAAAAAATGGGAAAAAATAAATAACCTAGAGAAAGAAAAATGGAATTATATGTACATACCTTTTATTCTCGATGAAATAGAAGGAAAACTTTTCAAATGACGTTGTTTTGGCAAGGGCATGGGCAAGGTAGGAATTGGTGAGGGTGGCTTCAACAGTAGAGCAATGGAGCTTTTCTAATGACGTCATTTTGGAGAGGGTGTGGGGGAAATGGGAATTGACGAGGGTGGTTTCGACAGCGGAGTAAAGAGACTTTTCTAGTATGGGGTGGAGGGGGGAGCTTAAGGAGGAGGTATGATACGAGGTTTCTAATATAGGGTTTCCCTTTTCACGAGATTGAGAGTGAGAATCATGTTTTTGCGTTTCAAATGAATCATATATGACTAAAGAGTAAAAATATATATGTACACATGTAGTTTGGTTTGGTTCAATTTGGATTGATTTTAAAGTTCTAAATTGCAAATCAAATCGAATAACTCGATTTGGGAACAAAATAAGCTAAACTACATGGTTTTGGTTTTTCAACGATTTTTTATTTTTTGGATCGGTTTGCAATTTGTTGTTCAGCTTGATTTGATTTTGAATACCCCTAGTTGTAATATTGTTGAGGCTATAATTTTGTCTCAAACCTGACCATTAGACGATTTTTGTTGGATATGGGCTCCAAAACCCCTATCTGATGCAAATTGAAGTCCAAAACAAATGCCCCATTTATGTTTGATCTCTGTATTAAGTTAGTTGATTCTTAATCCACTAGATTATATAAGTGAGAGGGTGGGTTCATGCGCGTGAAAAATAAAATAAAAGCTAAAACATAAGAAGAATGATGATATCTTCTCTATTTAGATCAGTCCCTTTAATTTTTTTTTTTAATTGCAAGCTATCACCTTTAACAACTAGCCACCATTGGAACCTTATAATTGCAAAATAGAGCGGAAGAGATAATTGTGAGATTTTAGAGTAATAAAAAGGGAGAGAGGAAAAGTAATACTAGGTTATAAAGAAATGAAGCTACCATTGAAATTGCAAAACAAAGCAGAAGAAATGATTGTGGAATTTCATAATAGAGAAGGAGAAAGAGAGACTAAGTGGTGCAAGGTTGCAAAGAGATGGAGCGAGAAGAAAATAGAGACTCCAAGGGTGCTTGGGTTAAAAAAAAAGTCTCATTCAATGCAAACAACTTATATGTTGCTGTTATTAATTGGCCAGGTTTAGGTACTAATGAGCACAAAAATTTTAAACCAAACCAAACTGAATGCACTCGTTTGAATTCGTCTTTTTCCATTTGAAACTCACTAATTAGTTTTGATTTCATCCAATAACCAATATTTAGTTTACGGTTTTGTTTGGCTCATATAGGTGCATAAATTCTGATCACCCCTATTTTTTCTTCTTATATAAATTTCATTAAGGAAATTAGGATTTTTCTTTCAAACCTTTGACCTATAATTGAAATTTGACCTTTAGTTTCCTATATGATCCATGCACTATGATTTTCTTTTGTACCTTGTTATTTATGTTTTTAAAATAATCTTGGTACCTTGGGAGATGTGTTATGACAGCTTGTAAATATGTACAAGGTGTGTTTTGTTTTGTATAATAATTGATAATATCTATAATTTTGTCTCAAACCTGACCATTAGACGATTTTTGTTGGATATGGGCTCCAAAACCCCTATCTGATGCAAATTGAAGTCCAAAACAAATGCCCCATTTATGTTTGATCTCTGTATTAAGTTAGTTGATTCTTAATCCACTAGATTATATAAGTGAGAGGGTGGGTTCATGCGCGTGAAAAATAAAATAAAAGCTAAAACATAAGAAGAATGATGATATCTTCTCTATTTAGATCAGTCCCTTTAATTTTTTTTTTTAATTGCAAGCTATCACCTTTAACAACTAGCCACCATTGGAACCTTATAATTGCAAAATAGAGCGGAAGAGATAATTGTGAGATTTTAGAGTAATAAAAAGGGAGAGAGGAAAAGTAATACTAGGTTATAAAGAAATGAAGCTACCATTGAAATTGCAAAACAAAGCAGAAGAAATGATTGTGGAATTTCATAATAGAGAAGGAGAAAGAGAGACTAAGTGGTGCAAGGTTGCAAAGAGATGGAGCGAGAAGAAAATAGAGACTCCAAGGGTGCTTGGGTTAAAAAAAAAGTCTCATTCAATGCAAACAACTTATATGTTGCTGTTATTAATTGGCCAGGTTTAGGTACTAATGAGCACAAAAATTTTAAACCAAACCAAACTGAATGCACTCGTTTGAATTCGTCTTTTTCCATTTGAAACTCACTAATTAGTTTTGATTTCATCCAATAACCAATATTTAGTTTACGGTTTTGTTTGGCTCATATAGGTGCATAAATTCTGATCACCCCTATTTTTTCTTCTTATATAAATTTCATTAAGGAAATTAGGATTTTTCTTTCAAACCTTTGACCTATAATTGAAATTTGACCTTTAGTTTCCTATATGATCCATGCACTATGATTTTCTTTTGTACCTTGTTATTTATGTTTTTAAAATAATCTTGGTACCTTGGGAGATGTGTTATGACAGCTTGTAAATATGTACAAGGTGTGTTTTGTTTTGTATAATAATTGATAATATGTACAAGGTAAACGGAAAAATTTGAATGGAAAAAAAAAAGTAAAGTAAAAAAAAACTAATAATTTATCTTTTTTAATAGGATATTATTATTATTATTTCAACTTAAATATTTTTCAATTAATAGATATTAGAGTCTAATTTTTTCTAAGTTTGATTTTTTTAATTCTACCGTTCTCTTTCAAAATAATTAGCTTCACCTCTAGATGTAAGTTTTAAATAAAACATTAATTTAATTTATCAATTTAGACTAAATATGAATTTGGCTCCTAATATTGCAAAAAATTTATTAATCATCAACTATGATAATTAATAATTAATTTAGCAATAAATAATCTATATGCAGTGATGGTGTAAAAGGATCCTTACATTGTTGTTCAATCATAATATAACAATATAATAAGTTTATTATCTTTTAAAATAATAATATTTTATTTGGATTAAAAGTGAAACAGAGAAAAAAATATAAAAGAAATAAAATAATAATAAAAATAAAATGATCTATTATCTATATGGATAAATAAGAAGATAAAAAACATTTTCCCACTAATTTGGATGAGTAGAAATAAGTAAATTATATTAAAATACTTTATCCAAATTAAAGAATATAATTGTTTCTCCCTTTTTCTCTTAATATAATTAGTTATTATTTAAAAAATATATAAAAATATTTAATCTTTCTAAAACTGTAAAAAAGAAAAGCGAGATACACGACAAATCATCTCCAAATCATGGCAAATGGAGAAATATTTCTCAAATGGTGGAGCCACGAATTTTAACAACTTGTCCTTTCTATTTTTCTTCTAATGGTACAAGTGAAAATTACAAAATCTCTTCTATTTCACTTCTTATTTCTATTGATTGATGGTTCAAAATATTTTAAAAATAATGGATAAAATTCAAACTCATAATTTAGTTCATAAAATTAAGATTATTCAATTTATAGTTCCAAACATTAACAAATCAACAAATTTAATCCTTGAATTTAATAATCATCTTCAATTTCATATTAAATACCACCAACTAATTTAGCTTTCAAATGTTAGAAATGATGAACACTAAAATTAAGAACAAAAATGACATACATATATGTAATACCACATAGTATGATCGAGAATTTGACATATATGTAGTACCACCTACTTATTGAGAATTTGTGTAGTATATATGAGGTGTTAGTTCAAATTTCAGTGTATTAAAAAACTAACATATTAAAGTCAGAAAATCAAATTAATGCTGATGTTATGAATTAAAATAACTACCATTTATTAACTTATAAATATATTCTTAATATTTTATATCTAATTTAATAATTATCGTGATTTTAAAAATCATATTGAATCGGCTGGTAAAATCAATTGGATTGATAATTGATCCCAACCAATCTGGTTGGTTCTAAAAAATCGTTTGGATCTGTAAAAAATTTACAGAATCGTTCAAAATCAGTAAAAAAAAAAAAATCAAATTAGTTTCTCATTCAATTAAAATATTATTTTTTATTTTTAAAATTTAAATTAAAGTATTTTAAATAAAATATATATATTTAAAAAATTATGAATTAAAATAAATTATTTGTAATGTTTGTCTTATAAATATAATTTAATCATTTGTTTTGATTTATGATTTTAATATTTTTATTTTTTTTATAATTTATAATATATTAATTTGATACAATTTATTTTAAATATAAAAGTAACGGATATAGTTATATTTTATTAATAATATATTTAATTTAAAATTTAAATATTACATTTGAGAATTTATGAACAACTATTTTAATTTTTAGTGTTATAAAATTATGATATTATATTTATAATGTTATTTTTTTATATTGATAATAATATTAATAATAATAATTATTATTATTATTTTATTAATATTGATATAATTAACTATTGTTGAATCTTTCAACCTTGAATTAAAATTTAAATTAATTCAATGATGGATGCAATTTTAAAAATATTAATATTTATAATCATTATATTATAAATGTCATGTGAAATGTGTACCAATTTTATGAATGGTTTTTTTTTAAGAAACCAAACTAACTAATTTTAATGAAATATTTTTATTAAATTATGTTTTTCAATTATAAAATTCAAATAAACCATGACTTTTATCTAATAGTTATTAACATATGTCATGGGTGTAACGACCCGGCTGGTCACTACACACTACACCGTATA